AAAAGACATCTGTTCCAGTAGTCGACACTTACTTTATTTTGAGTGTGTGCTCCCTTCATACGGGCTTATTCTGACAACTAGGGCCCTTTGTCAACGTGAAATGGTGTTGGGATCGTGTGTCTTTTATTTTCTTGTTCGTAATACATCATAATGACATCAGTAAAGCACCAGGTGTCAATACTGTGCCGTTTGCGTTCAGTGCCCCATTTTTTGTAAATCATTTCTCTGGGAATGTGCCGTGGTTGCTTGAGAGAAGTGTTAACAGGCACAAGGGTCGAGAGGGGGGGGGGGAGGGGTGGAACCCCAATTTCACCACCGCAGTCTGAGCGGCTGGCCGCTAGGCTGGAGTGAAAACCTGGGATTGAACAAGTATACCTGGAATAAAGTACTTCAAGATATCCCAAGACTTGCGAAACAGTCCATTCTGGTTCAATGTCTGACCTTTCATCCCTCTCTAAGGGTTCGAAGTTGGGTCATTGAGGGAAATTGACACTTTTCACCCCCTTGGGCTCCCGTAGGCATAATCCCGGGAACGGCTATATGCGGTTCGCCTTGGAATTTATATATAAGGGGATAACTCCGGAGTCGATACGCTGTGCGATAACATCTTCAGCTTGCCCACAAGACATTTTAGTTGACTAAGGTTTAATTAGCAAGCTATTGCCGGCACTCCCCTCCCTGGTTTTTGTATGTCACACCGTGTCGTCCTATACATTATTAGATGTGCTTTGACGCGACAGAACTGTTTCATTTTAGACAAATTGCGCTATGAAAATTGTTTTCCGATATGTAGCCAAAAAACGACGTTTTCTTTGCTAGAAAAAAACGTTTTTCACCATATTTCACAAAAGGTCGCCTGGAGGCCGAAAAAGCCGAACAGCACCTCGCAAAGAGGGCTGAGAAGGACACCGCTGATGGCCAAAAAGACGACCGAGAGGCATAGGCAGGCTAGCCAGGCTGCAGGGACCCGTACGACTTGGCAATACGGGTAAAATGACAGAGTGTCGACTACTGGGCCAGGCAGTGTCGACTACTGGGCCAAAGGTGTCGACTACTGGGCCAATGAACACTGTTTTTTGCTATACATTTATGTGTACAAAAATGTATTTATTTCCATTTTCGACCTATGGGGCATTAAGTTTAATCCGTCCACTACACCCCCGAAATTTTTCCTTGACGCTACCGTACACCCACACTCCGTTGTAGGCACTTTTGCAAAGCCTTGCCCTTAAACTGTCGACTACTGGGC